GTATTTTAGAATAGAAGCAGTGATGATATTCTCTGTTTTATGTAATTTCTCGCTGGTGCTTTCAGCCTTTAGACATATTTTTGCCCAATCATTTTGGCATGGAAATCATGAACATATCCAAGTCAGTCAAAAAATTATATGACTTAATGATGCATCCATCTGCAAGCAGAGATATGAAATAAACAAACACAAGTAGGCTGAATCTGTTTTGTCCAGAAATGTCATCAGCACTCATTAAGTTTGCAGATTGGTGCTGGCATGTGCAACAAACACTCTGAAAGAAGCTGAGATTTTATTCTGCAGAAAGAATGCAGCTAAATAAATGCCAGTGCTTTTACACAATGCAAATGAAGAAAATCTGCATGTTACACTGCTGGGCAAATACACACGCAAGACTCGTTTAATGAGCTGCAAATAACCTAGAATCATAGCAGAAAATTACAAAACGATGAATTTAGTTTAATGTAGTCGGCGGGTGCCCGTTTTATCTTCCATTATTATTCAAAGCATCTCTAAATAGCCTTTATCTTTACAATCAAGCACTATGCAAGGGTCAGGGAGTGAAAAGATCATAATGGAAAATTAACAGTGATGGTGCAGCAGAGGAAAGAAAAGGGATGAGGAAGTGAAGGACAGGTGGAAAAGGTCATCGGACTGCGGAAATGGAAAGAGAAAAATGTTACATAACCTATGTGTGGGGCATAAAAGTAATACAAAACTGATAAGGAGGTAAATGTGAAATGAAGGTGAGCGGAAGAGCTGGAAAGAAACAGTTTTCATCATTGCAGACTCATTAAAATGTCTCTGTGTTGGCCAAATATCCAGTGAACTGTGCAGAGGCCCTGGAGACTGCTGCATATCTCCACCTTGCATTATCGGCAGACTCAGCCACTTCAACGACTTTATTAAACTTTATGTAGCGTGCAATCATCAGTTCATCCTCACTGAAACAACAGAGGATACATACGACAGTCCAGGAATTGCAGAAACCGTTGAGATGATGAGGCAAATAAGATGCTGCAGCCTGCTGACTATTGGACAATTCCCAAATTCATGGTTATTTGATTGTTCTGGATTAAAAACAGATGTGTAAAATCATCAAACATGCCATTTATCTGAGAGGACCTCTTTGCCTTGCATCAACACATCACCTTCCTGAAAGAATAGCCTATTGTTTTTAGGAGGTGGTGCTTGGAAAACATAAAGAGGAGAGTTATAGCCTCTGCAAGTCTGTTGGCCCAGCAAAAGTACTGGGCCAACAGTACTTTTGCTGGGCCAACAGCAAAAGTACTGTTTTGCTGTTGGCAAAAGAGAGAAATGACGGGGTTAGCAAAGTATTTCATAGTTTAAATCTTAATTGTGAGTGCTGTTAATGTAGACGAATGTCATAGGATGACAGAGAACTGTTTAAAACCCTTTATGACCTAAGTTTCAAATCTCCGGCTGGATAGTTTTGCTTATTTTAATTGTACGCAGTTCTGTAAATGTCCTGTGAGTAAATATATTTGCCCATTTATCCATAACAACTGGAACTTCCAATATCTGGCAAGTTATTCTTGCAATTTACCGTCTATTAAAAGAGTGTCCCTCAGAGGGACAGTGAAATTACCAGAATAACCAGAAACCATTGGGATTTTTCAGATTGTGCAAAGTTTGGTGAAATTACAATACTGCAGATTTAGCTGGATTGTCGCCAATACATTTGGCCTGGAAGGGTTAAACCATTAGAGTGCAGTTTATTATCCCAACCTTATCAAACCTGCAAGTGCCATTAAGACACAATACTAAAACAGATTGACTATGCAGACGTTTCATGTTTAGATCAAACTACTATGAGATGAATTATAAGTTCTAGAGTAGGGGGGGGCATTTATCGTATTATTATTTATCGTGACAAATTTCTTATGAGAATTTTGATGTAGCAGAGTTACAATAAATTTGAATTAACGCTGAACTGTCTGTATTTTTACTATTTTCTCTACTGTCTGTTAACCTTTCCATACTGAAAGGAGGGCGAACGATAGTTAAATTTGCAGTACCGTAATCCCGCCACACTATCTGAAAAATTCCAACTGAAAGGGGAGACGTTGCGCTTTCCAGCTAATATCGGGTTATTATGGTAATTTCACTCCCAAAGTAGCAGGGAGTGAAATTAATCTGAGGGACGCTCTTTTAATAGATGGCAAATTACAAAAACAACTGCTAGATATTGAAAGTTCCAGTTGTATGGATAAATATATTTATTCACAGGACATTTAAGGAACCGCCTACAATTAAAATAAGCAAGAATATCCAGATGGAGATTTGAAACTTAGGTCATAAAGGGTTAAGATAAATACTAATAAAGTTCAAAATATGATTAAATGCAGCTACTGTGAGCAGTTTTGTGATACAAATTACACTTCTTTGTGCTAAAAAAGATTATTATAAATAGGAGTATTTGTAAGAGCATTGTATTTTGTGCTCTGCCAGGCAATCACATCCATAAAATTACCTAAAGAAAAAGTAATTGTCACTTTTTTACCACTAAATATTGCAATAAAGGTTTAAGTTCATATTCCCCAGAGCTATTTTACAGATTCTTGAAGAATGAGATAAAGTGAGAAATTGCATTTCTGCTCATCTTCTCAAATATTAATACAATCCTGAGTGTAAGGTATTTGAATGACATGTGCTCCAAGTGATTATAGAGGAATAATAATATTTTTGGAGTCGTCACCTTGCCTGTAGGTGGAGGAGGTGGAATAACTATTCACTCTGTGTCACTGCCTCTATTAGAAGCACTCTAGAAAGCTGGTGGGCCCACTTAGCACTGTAATAAATACTCCAAGGGAGAACAGAGAGGGATCGAAGAGAGACATGAAGGAGAGCTGCTGCTGACGGGCTGAGACAGATGGATGCAAAAGACTCATATCTGAAGGTTGAGGTTGTTGGGAAATTATTAAAATAGCAGGTGTATCGAAAGAAATAAAGATGTAAAAGAACCTCTTGTGACATATGTTTAGTAAATTCCTCTTCATTCCTCTGCAGGATGTTTAAGGGAATGGGCTGCCAGCAGGGGCTTGACAAACATCTAAACTACATGGTCGATGTAGCTTGGAGATCCATTTTGTCTTGACAACCACTTGGGTGAATTATGGCCGAGCCCCTAGCAGGACACTGCAAACATCTGCTAGATGATTGGCCCATAAATTCAAGTGCCACCTCGCTGCCCACCATTCATTATCGTATCTGTAGACAAACGGAGACAACAACAAGAAATCTGCTCTGCTGGACTTAATCTGGGCCCCCGTGGAGATGACCAACAAAATCTATCGGAAACTAATAATCTCTGGCAATTAAGGCTGCTTGTTAAAGCTCAGCTGAAAATGGAAAAATGAATAGGGTGGTCAAATAATGAGGAACAAGTTTAAGATTTATATAAAGATAATTAAGATGATGACGAACATTGTTCCTTTATTCTATGAACTACTGACAACATGTGTCTGAAATTCCAAGCAAAAATTTTGCATTTATTTCGTCAAAATAATAGAAAACAAGTTCATATTCATTTAGAAACAACAATATTAATGTTTTAACTCAGGAAGAGTTCAGAAATCAATATTTGGTGGAATAACCAGGAGGTTTTCAATGGAGTTCAGTGCAGTGGACTCATTATATATCATACCATGCATTTGTATTGAACCCCCTTAACCCTGACAACCCTAAATAAATTTAGCAATGTTAAAAGTTTCCCATTTACTAAACATTTGTGTGTAATGTAATCTTAGTATAACTATAGGTTTACTGGATAGATGTTATCCAATAAACCTCAAATGTTTATTGGACTATCTTAGTGAACAAAGAGCATCACCAGAACCTTGATTGTTCAAAACATTGTTGGGGTATAAAATAATATCTTTCATTTATTTAAAAATACAGAGGGGGGAATAATCTGACAATAACATAACCACACAATAATTAATGCAGTTATTAAATCCAGACTATAACTTGTGGATATTTATTCAGAGTAATAAGATCATGTTAAGAAATAAAACAAAACAAAGAGTGACTATGTCAGAAAGCATTTCATACCCAGTGTTGGGTATGCTGGAAGATTGGTGATGCTGTGGGCCTGTTTCTCTACGAAACTTATTAGATAGGGATTGAAAAAAATAGTAAACTGACAGCAAAGTGAAAATGGTTAATTACCGAGGAGAATAATGATCCAAAATGGTTCTCCAGGCATATTTTTTGATAGACCCCCCCAGCAATAAATACAATAGAAAGTCACAAGATGAATGGAGGGTATGACAAATGTGCAAAAAGCTCCCACAAACTATGCCACAACCTTGTCAGATGTAAAAAATAAGTTGTACAAAGTGTCACAATAATTGTGAATTTTTAACATGTATTTTTCTTCTTCATCCACCTAATTTTGAAAGTTGTGTTTCAAATTTTGACTGCAAAATTTTAAATTATGCCAAAAGTTTGAGTAAACAAATGGCATTACTGTATAGCATTACTAATAAGTTAATCTTTCAAAGTCAAGGTGAAACAATGCATTTTATTTTAAATAAAGCAGAACCATATCACCTAGAAGGAGTTCTCTTGTGCATCTGTCAGGAATAAGTTTTGTTTTTAATTTGAGATCTACAAGAAAATGAAAGCTCTCATTGAATATGAATATGTCAGCGAAAACATGCACACCTTTGTGTAATCTCTGCTCTCTAACTTTGAGGTCAGGCAAGGTGGGAGAATTACAGAGGCTTAGAGTCGTTATGCAAGACCTGGAGCTACTACAGAATTAGCTTCGTAAGGCAGAAAACGCTCAGTCACTCATTTCTAAAATTACCTTTATTTCAAATTAGAGATAGACCTCACCTTGTTACCAAACACAAAAACCTACTCACAAAAAAACATTATTCTTTAAAAAAAATAAATCCAGACACTAGTTTGAATAATTAATCGTTGGTTTTTCTGTTTTACAGTTGGCGTTTGTCGAACAGGTGTGTTGTTACCTTTGATTCCGGCTGACCGGACACGGTGGTACCCTGCCGGTTTAGGTCCCGGTTCTGAGGTTCGCTTTCTTTTTCGCTGATTTCCGTCATCTCGAATCGGTAAAAATGCTCCTCCAGCAGCAAAAACCGAAGTCCGTGGAGACAGAGGAACGAGAAAACTATTCATACAGAGAGCTCTTAAATATATGGCGTGGAAAAGAAGAGGAGACGTTACAGACTCTAAACGCTAATCTACCCCCCAAAAAATCCTTTAAAAAGCGACCTGCTTCCTTTCAGGTTTAAAGCTCTGAACGGGTGGAAATTAAGCCAATAAAACACCGGATTAAAACCAGAATATCCGATAAGACTTGCTGTTCGTCCTCCGCCGCCTCAAGCCTGTCTCGTGCCCCGGACAGTATTTCTTCTCGCGCGCACACACGCGCTCCTTACAACAACTTTAATCTCGTCGATAGAAAGTGCTCCGCGCGCTCTGATTGGTTCAATTTGACAGACAAAGGGAAAAAAAAGAACACAGAAGCCACTGTGATTGGCTGTGAGGTGATGACGCTTAGATGTGATGAATATTTTAAATCTGAGCCAGAATATCGTATTTCAAGGAAAGATTTATCTATATTGCACATTTCACCTTATCTGATAAAATGTAAACATAATAACTAAACAGCAGAAAATTTGGATTACAATTAAACAGCAATGAGAAATTATTTTAAACATAATGGAATAAATAATAGAATACGCAATACTGTCAAATGATGATATTGACAAATATCAATATTGTCATTGAAAACTGTATTTTGAGAACTTGCAAACAACATAAATGTCAAATTATTTTACTCTAAATGACTTTACAAGTATGTTTCTGTTCTTATTTTGGTGTTTCAATTAGCCTACACATTAAATCAAGAACTCTACTAAAACAATGTATACCTGGAAGTATTATTATTAGTACACTTGTAGGCAGATTTTGCTAAGATATTTTATTTTTTAAATTTGTCAAGTTGATCTTTTAAGGATAATTTACAAAAAATAATCTTATTTCTTTGGTTTTTAACATCTTGCTTCTAATAAAAGTAATATTTACCCTGCCTCTTTGAAAGTGTAGGCAGCCATCTTGGATTTTTGAATAAAACTGGGACTTGCCACCTGGAATAGTAATTGAACCCTCCACCAAAAGATATAAAACAAAGAAATGGTTAATAGAGCTGATTTTTTTTAAAGGAAGGTTAGTTCCTGATTAAAAAGGAAGAGATCTCAAAACTCAGTGGCACTCAAGACACCAGCGATAAACAATTAATTTTATGGCCATTCCCACCATCATTTTTGTGCTTCAACAAGATTTGAAATGCAGCACAAAGTACACCTTAGAAAATATACCTAACTAAACATAGATAGACATCTTCTGGTCACATTGCCTCACATCAGCACATTAGACCAATGCCACTAAGGGAGCTAATATGTGCTGACTGGCTCAACTATAGTACAGTTGTATTTTTCATGTCAGACATACTGAATCAAGCTTGAAAACAAATAAAATAAACATTTACATAAAATGTGAGAATACAAAAGCTTTTTCTAATTAACTCTTACTGCAATTGATCCTTTACACGTGACGTCACTGACGGACGTCAAAACAACCTATGCGCTCCTGTAAAGCCTGTCAAGAAACGCACATGTGGTGGCCTAATATCGCTTTTATTAAGTTGATTTCCTAGGAAAAATGGCCACAGAGTGCTGCGCGGTCTTCCGCAGAGAAAGACAAGGGTGAAAACCAAACTTCTCATTTTATTTTGTAACTTTTAATCAGGAAAGATACAGCAGCGATGGATAGCAACCGTCAACGATGATTACTGTCAGCCCTCGGTGTAATCGCAGATTTGCAGCGAACAAATATTCGAATATGAAATATCGGAGAAGGCAGCGTTTAACCATTGGTAACCATGGAGACAGTGCCCCACCATCATGTAGCCTAGCATGTACGAAAAAAAAAAAAAAGATTAGCATCTCCTCTTTTGTACGTTTTTAATGCTGCTCCGTTATAAGGGGAAAGCCTGTTTATGACTTAGCGATATAAACTATGTGGTGTGAATTCAGGCAAAGTCGGTAATTTGATCGACACGTCGGGAGGGAGGAGGTATGGGTCGGTTTCTAAGCTAGCTGTTTCCAACTTTTCTAAATACCGCCGCCTGTGAGCCACAACCAGGTGTGTAACGTTCACAGACAAATTAGCTTGACTCGAGCAAGTAGAAGCCATGAATAGACTGGCAAAAACAACTTCAGTTGCTCTGTTCAATACTCCCATCCTTCACTTCCGACGTTCATCATGGCGCCTCGAATGATTAAGTGACGTAGGGTCAATACAATTCCATGGCTCTTCAGATGTGTGCATACATATTAATGGCTGCTTAAAGCAAACAGAAAAACACTTTTATTAAGGCCCCCTTGCTTATGTTAGAACTAAACACGGAAAATGGAGAACATATAGGTTAAACATTACAAGCATGTGTAGGTGACTGCGCAGTCCACAGGGAGCATGTGGAGCCCAGCATGGGTGGCTGATTCAGCACTAAGGACAGCTCCTCCCGCCTGCCTCTGCAAGTGTCTCACTAATTATCTGGCTTCATGTGAGCTGCCTCTTTTCTTCCTCATCCAGTTCTTCCTTGAACGCATTTCTCTTGATTGAACCTCACGGTGTTTGTTGCTTTAAAAACATGCATTCAGAATAAGTATATATTTTGGAGATGTGCAGGTATTACTATTATGAAAAAACCGCAGTTTGTCTGCTTTTCTTGTGGGTGTATCTGAATTGGACAGAGCACCATGTCGCAGTTATTTTTATGAGAGTTTGTCTGAACCCACCTTTGAGAAACTCGACAGCCCCTGTGCTTTGTAGTGAAGCCGGTAATTATGGAAATTAAGGCCTAATTATTCTATTTTTTTTAAAAAAGCTAGTGAGGTTTACTTCTTAGTCTCATTGTTGATGTAGTATGATCTAATATATGCTATAATGCTGCAAACACAATAATCTGTTCTAACAAATAGCTTTTTAAAGTTTAATGTAACTATTTCTTTAACATAAACCTATTTTGGAGAAAAGTATTTTGATATTGGTTTTGAACACAACATTTTTCAGTTTAACTATTTCTAATAGCACCACTGACTAAAAATTCATACTAGATGTTTGTAACAACCGAAGCAATCTACAAACAGATAAAAGAAAATTAGTATACAAATGAAGTTATGGGTAAAAACAAAGAATGAATCAGAAGATAAGTACTGAACACATGAAAATGACATGTAAAACGACAAAATTAGGAAACCAGCTGAAAGCTGTCAGTATTTAGAAAACATACATATGCTCATATGGTAACACAAAGCAACAAAAGCTCTGCTAAAAAAGTTTACTGAGCCATATTGCGGTAATGGAAAGAACACAATTTCTCTCTCAACCATCCTTGAGGAGGTGTCCCTAGTAGGATTTCTGACAGAGGAGTTAAGAGAAAAAGAGATGTCCAAGCTCACAGGGACACTCACACTCACACAGAGAAAGAACTGCGAATAGCTGATGCAGCTTTTCAAATAAAAGCATTAACTAATGCACTCAACTGCACTGGACTATATGTGAACTATCTGCACAAGACTCTACTGCTAAAGAAAAAAAACCTGTTTCATCTTGTTAAATATTTACTAAAGAAAAACTGGAAAAGCCCACGAAATAATGGAAGGACACAGTGTGGTCAGAGGAGATAAAGACTTCAGTTTTTGGATGCCGTTGCACACACCATATTTGCATGAAGAATGCTTTCAAAACATCACAGAAAAAAATGAAGTTTGCACCTGGGGAAATAATGATGTGGGTTGTCATACTAGCTTTTAAGACAGGCAGACTCCAAATAATCAAAACTGATAGTAGTAACTGAAGGTGTTTAACACAATAATCCCAAACAAACAGCCAAGAACATTCCTATTTGATTTCAGAGAAGGAAATTAAAACTACTAGAATAGTCAATCCAGTCACTGAACATCTGAAAAACAACTGAAAGAACTGAAAATCAGAGTGCATACAAAACTCTTGAAGATTTGAAGGCAGTTTGTGTGAAAGAATGAGTCAAAATTACACCTGAGCAATGAATTCTAGTAGTTTTTCCCACACAGGAAATGTTTTAAAATCTCTTGAAAGTGTATTTACAATTTGTTATTCTAAGTTAAAAATAAAACAAACAAAAAAAAACAACTCATTTACTTAGATTGTGCAGATTACTTGAATTGTTGCCTACATCCGGTGTAAATTTTATATCAGTGGCTCCATTAGAAACATTAAAACTAAGAAAAATAATTACATATTAATTTCTCAATTCTATACTCATTAGCACACACACATTATGTGTAGACGCTATAGTATTTGTTGAAAAATGCATACATAGTGGGATTTGGATTTCTTCTGTGGGATACTTGAAGTGTCAAAATCTATAATTTAGTTAGTTTGTAATGATCGCTTCAGTTAGTGTTGAATCATGAACGTTTTTTGCTCTCATGCCATGCCAAGAGCTCCTGCTGGTTTCCATTTTTGCAGCATCATCTTTTATTGAGTGCTTAGAAGAAGGACTGTTTCGCTCTAGTTACACCACACTACACTTCATCTACTTTCTCTTAATGCTGCAAAAACACAATATACCCACAGGAAGAACTTCCACATGGGGTGATTCTTAAAATGCATAAATCTCTAGGAAATTTTAATATAGCCATTATTGATATTGAGACTTTTCTTATTAAGCTGGTTTTAAAAAAACAATATTAAAGGCAAAATATCCTATTTTAGAGCCAACAAACCCTCAAAAACCTGAAAACACAAAACAAAAATAAATCGTAGTTAGTGTTTCCATTTTTATAACACACTTTTAAATCATATAAACAGCATATATTGGTTTTCCTAATGTAACATTATTAGTTTTCAGCAACTATCAACTCCCAACATAAACTATAACTATTCAATATAATCATAAGCATGAACCCTCTATAAGCAACTTTGTCAGAAACATCAATATTACAATACTTGTAACAAAAATATGTAGAAAAAATGTCATATCTTGAAAATGAAATCTTTTTGTCATTTCCCCCCTGCGTGAAATGAGTATGAAGGAGACTAAATTACATTTGTAAGCATCTAACTGAACCCAGGGGCAGTTGTAAACTCCACATGGGGGCAAATGAGCTAATTGTATCAGACAAAACAGCAAAATAATGCATCAGTTGCCCTACATGCATTAGTTAAACATTTAGTATTTAAATTAAACCAAGTTTTTGGCTTGGAAACACAAATCTCATTGTTACTTGAAATGCTTTTTTTTTCTTTCAAATTTTAAAAGTAAGAATTATTTAACTTAAACTTGTAATATTGAATTATTTTACTGATGTGTAACTCATACAAGACAAACAAGAAAGC